CTCTCTCTCTCTCTCTCTCTCTCTCTCTCTCTCTCTCTCTCTCTCTCTCTCTCTCTCTCTCTCTCTCTCTCTCTCCCTCGCCCTGCTCCCCCACCCCGTCGTTCCGTCTCTTTCTCTCTAGCGTTCTAACGGTTACGTCGGTTACCCGAGCTGCGGGACTGAAACCGGTATAGTTTCCGCCGAGTTCGGATTCCGGGCGCTACGCCGCGGCCGGCCGAAAATGAGCCCCGTCGTCCGTTCGGGGCACGCGATTCGTCGACCCGCGGGGTTTTCCGTCTCGCGGCGTCCAGGAGTCTCTCCCCCCCCCCCCCTCTAATCGGAGTCCGGTCAGCAGACGCGGTAACTCTCGGTCGGTCCTTCCGTTTCGGCGACTCCCGAGAGAAGCGAAAGAAGCGAAAAAGAAACGGCAAGAGAGAAAGAGATAGCGAACGTATATCCACTTCTCTCGTAGAATTTTGCCAGATGGCCCGTTGGTTCTGATTATAAGGACTCTCCGGAGGTTGGTTGATTGCGTAACGGAAAGGGTCCCGCGAGCGGCGATCGTTGGCGAAGGGGAAGAGGGGGGGGGGGAGGGGGGCGCGCGACACGGAAGGGTGCACCCTGCAAAATAGCTGCGGTGGAAGCCGTTCTTTGTCGAGAATGGGCGACGGATTTTTACCTCGCCCCGTGCGGTCAGGCTGAAACGGAAAAATGCGCCAAGATTCGCAGGTAGAACCCGAGAGAACAATGGAAACGTCTTCACGCGGCCGCGGAACGTCTCGGCGAGAGATTCCTCGTAAAGGGGCTTCCTCGCAGTCGACATTTTTTTTTATAGAAAAATTAACACGCGATGTAAACGCGGCTCGATGCAAAAGTCAGCGCAAGGCCCGGTTTCACCAACGTCGCTTAACTTTGCGCTTAGCTCAATTCGTTCTTTGCCTCTTTTCAACTGTTGCTTTAGAAAGGGACGAGCGTGATTTAAACTAAGATTAAAGTTAAGCGACGTTTGGTCGGGTCTGAGGCCCGGTTTCACCGACGTTGTTTAACTTTAAGCTTAGCTCAATTCGTTCTTTGTCCCTTTCCAACTGTTACTTTAGAAAGGGACAAGCGTGAATTAAACTAATTGTAAGATTAAAGTTAAGCGACGTTTGGTCGGGTCTAAAAGTGGTACGATTGTACCACTTTTTTTTGCGTTTATTGGGATATTCGTGGAGATTAGAAAAATTGTTCAAGATTAAAAATACACAAGGCCTCTCGTTGGACTGAATTGCAGACGAGAAGAGCGCGATTTTCGGGAGCCCAATCTTTGGATCTTTCCCAGCAAACACCAAACAGTTACATAACATCAATATAAATGTAATATAACACGCGCGTTATGCAGGGTGTCTCATAAAATTGAAGGAGCAATTCGAGTATATTGATTCTGAATTGACCGAAATGCAAATCCGTTGCGTCGAGCGCGAGTGAATTGCCCTGAAACGCCCTGTAGCGACGAAACACCAGCGATTTAACCTGAGAAAAGGAGCGGGCAGCGTATCTCTTACTGGATCGATCTATTTAAGCGCAATTTAGATGCAAAGCGGATATTTTCTACAGCCGCCCGGCTCGGACGTCCTCGACCGTGCCTTACGCCTTCCTTGTACGGTACGCAAAAACGCGTGAGGGGAAGGGGGGGGGGGACGGTGCAGGTATGCACGTGTGCAAGGAGCACGCCAGGTACGACGCGCGCTTACGAAGGGGAGAAGGGACGGAATTAATGTGCGAGACGTCAATTGCAGATGAATCAGAGCGACGCGGTACATAATTCATTCATCAGCCGCGCACATTTTGCGACGCAGTCGCTAAATGCGCCTCGCATTCCGCGCGTCGTTACTTCTCAGCCGACAGAAATGGAGTATCGATGATGCACCGCGGTTAGACCGGCAACCGCGAACTAAATTAACGAACTTTGAATTTTGTAAGGACTGTTGCGTCAGATCAGGTTTAATTTCAGCGAATTATTCGGAAGGATTGATCGATCTTTATATCTGATATTATAAATGGAAAGAAAATGACAAAGATGATTAAATTTTAATAGAGGCAGAATATTAGAGACTTTAATTTTTTTTTATATAAAATTAAACAAGTGACTGGACCCACGAAGTTGAAAGTAAAAAGGATTTGGGTTGCGAGAGTCAAACGCGGTTATTAGTGCGTGTCAATGTAATAGAATTGTGCCAGTGCAATTCTTGATTACAAGTTCCGGACGTTTCGGTTAAAGGTTTTAACCATCTTCAACGATGTTCTTTAAGGTGTGCTCCATTGTAGACTGAGAGATGGTTAAAACCTTTAACCGAAGCATCCGGAACTTGTAATCAAGAATTGTATTAAATTGACACGCACTAATAACCGCGTTTCACTACTCACAGCCTAAATCCTTTTTATTTCTAATTTTTTTAACTTAAAATCAGAACTTTATGCTACCCGTATAGAATAAAGAATTCTGCCTCTACTATAAATGGAAAGAAAACGACAAGGGTGATTAAATTTTAATAGAGGGAGAATATTAGAGATAGTCTTCAAATGTATTTACTTAAAATCAGTATCTTGCAATATAGTAAAAATGCTAAAATTGAGCGGCTTTGTCTCTTTTTAAGGAGACAGTTAGAAAGAGACAAGACACTACTCACTTTTAGCAATTTCACTGTAGTGTAAGATACAGAATTGACCGCTTGATCGTATAGAATAAGCAACAAAAGATTCTCTCTGCACATCAAGGTAAACGCATCCGAAATAGCGCGCTAAAGTTGGTTTCGGGTCGTGCAACGAGGAGAAGGACGGACGCGAGATATTACTTCAGAATAATAGCGGATTGTGCGGAGGTGTGGCGACACGTTTATTTATATCGGCCTTTCGCTTCTGATAAAGAAAGAATCTCTTCGAACCCTTTCGTCATCGGACGATTTCAAGTTACCATTGACTCACGACGGCACGAGAATAAGATAAAATTACGCGCGCCTATTTTCCCGGTTTCGTTGCGTGAAAAAAACGATCACTTTTACCGAAAGACAATTCGAAAGACATGTCGACAGAAATAATAATAGTGATTAAGAATATATTAGGACTTGCAGCGAATACATTTTTCGCAAAGCACATTCCTTTGGCACCGAGAAAAAAAAACGGTGATATTGTACAAACGAGATATTGTAGAGCTTTGCGAAAAATTTCCTATAAATTAGCGGAACAAAATGGGCAGAACCAATTGTAATAATAATTTTATTTGTTGCTCGTTTGTTAAAAAGTTGCCAAAGAAAAAAATTCGTTGCTTTGTAAGTTTCTTTAAAAAATAATGTTCCGACGAGGGATGACTTAGCGGGACAGTACACTTGGGAAAATTTACTTGAAATAAAATTGAAGTTTTTAAAAGTAATCTTTCAAGTTTAAGAGTTTACTTAAAAAAAAAAGTTAAAAGTTTACTTAAGAAATTTTAGAGTAATTTTGGGCACTTAAAGTAATTTTTAGATAGCCAAGCCTGTCGAAGTTCCCGCTAGAGGGCCGCGGCATAGCACCTTCTCGTAAGAATAAAACCGCACGCGGTATTGTAAATTATATCGCACACTTTTCACAATTCTTTAAGTGTTCATTTAAATTCTTAAGGCAAGTTTTAAGTTTACCTCAAAGAAAAGTTTAAAGTGTACAAATTTACTTTTCATATTTGTTATTTTTCTAAAGTATACTTTTAAGGCTTTCTAGTAGCGAATTCGATTGTTTGCACTAGAGCGCACTGAGTGCACACTAAAGCTTGTCTATAGTCAATATTCTTATATTTAACTTCGTCTCAAATACATGTTCAGAGAGTATTTAGTCAAAAAATGATCCGTATAGATGCTATACAGATTATTTTACTCGAGAAAAAAACCGCTGACCAAAATCTTGTACACCAATGCCCACTAATGCCCAGTGGTCATTACTTAATCTTTTTTATCTTGTTTTATCTTATTTTATCTGTACACCACAATGCCCTCAGCGGTTTCCCCCTTGATTTTACTGGTTAAAAAATATTTCAAGACTAGTGCAAGCAACCGAATCCGCTACAAGGTATACATCAGCTGAGCTGTAATAACGACGGTATAAGACAGTAGATTTGTTACCAATTTGTTGCTCTCGAAAAACATTGAGTAAAATTGGTTCTGCTCAGTTTGTATCGCTAACTTGCAAGACGGTCTAAAGAAATCGCGCAGAAGCGGAAGAGCGAATCAGTGACCAGACACGACTTTTGTAACCGATCGTCACGCAACTTTCCAATATTTTGCAAAAAAAGTATACAGGGTGTCTCATTTTAAATGATCCACGCAAATATCTCCAAAAATGTGTGTTTTCAATAATTAAAACACTATTGCAACAGCATATTCCTGAGACTAACAATAAGTCAAGTAAAGTCTAAGTAAACAAGTCTTGCAGTACTTTTCCCTCCGATAAACGGTTATCGAGATATTGAAAATGAAACGTCTTTCCGTATCTTTCATACTTTTGGAGATATTTGCGTGGATCATTTAAAATGGGACACCCTGTATAACGTCGTTCTATCCCGAGTAGTCAGAAATGACTCGCCGACTGGATGTTCGGTGTTTCGGACGCTTACCTTGAAGGCGGTTAACTCGGCGTGCATCTCACGCAGATTCTGAACGTCGGAGACTGCGTCGCGCAAGTTCGCCTCGAGGCGCGTGCGATCCTTACGCAGAGCCTCGACCTCGCGTTCCATCTCCTGCATCTTGGAGGCCTTGGCGGGGCCCTTCGACGCCGTCGTCACCTTGGGTTTGGCCGGCTCCTTGCCGCCCAGGGAGCCGGCCCAGCTGTTCCCGGTCGGCGAAACGTCGCTCTTCGCCTCCAGCGAGGAGGCGCTTGGCGCTTGGCGCAGCGACGCCGATTGCTGCTGCGGCTGCTGTTGCGCCGACTGCTGCTGGCTAGGCTGTCCTCTGCGAAACAGCGATTTGAACTTCATCATGGTCACTCGATTGGCCACTGCGTAATTCAGACGATCTCGGGTCTCGTGGCACGAGAAAGAAACTGCGGGGAGAGTCCGAGAGGGGAGGAAGAGCGCGAAACGGGGCGATTCTCTCTTTCGAACCGAGCCCTCGTCCACGAGGTGGAGCGCCTACGACCTGGAACGACCCTCGCCGTCAACGGACGATGGCATCGTCGACCGTTCCCGTTAGCGAGCGTCTCCAGAATTCGGACGAGGAGGAAAGCGAGCGGCTCGGCCCGACCGTCATCCTGTCGCGTCTCCCCCGGTTACGACGTAACGAACGTAATCATCGCTAGGTCACGGATACGCAGCTGCCGGCGACTATCGCCGAACGCGCGGGCGTTCGATAGCACTTTTGCCCCCCCCCCCCTCCCCGATTAGATTCCTGCGGAAGGACGCGATGTGTCTCGGTGAACAGTGGTCGCACGTGATCGCTGCCGAGAATGTCGGTTTAAAAATGTTTCTCAAGTCAACACGTGACTCTCCGACGTTACGTTTGCGTTTAAAGAAACAAACTAAAAGAAAAAAACAGAAGATTCAGATCAGCACTTGGCAACGGGACTCCCTCGAATTCAGAGCGCGCCCCGATAGTCTACACTTGTCGGTACTCTTATTGTCGATCCATTGGGGATCGCTTAATCCATATCCACGCGATTAGTGTCACCGTGGGGGACGGTCGCAAAATCGTGGCACTTGAATCTCGATATACTCGAGACGGTGGATTTAGTCATCGATTTAGATAACGACAGATTAATTTATATTTGTATGATTGGTTTGTCCGGAGGGCGACCTCGAAATTCGCAACGACAGTTTCTCAATGTCCGTTCGAGGTCTCGCACTTGAACGGATCGCACTCGGTAAAATATCCTGGCGGTGGTCGTCAGCGGCGCGTTGCTCCGCTTACGAATAGGTCATCCGGTTAGCCTTCCGTGTCGTAAGAGGCGACTAGCAGCGTCTTGAAATCAAGCAGCTGAACAGCAGTGCAAGACAAAACGTAGAGAAGATATTTCACGACTACTGGTCAGTCCTGGCTCACTTGGACTCGACTAGAGGACCAGCGCCATATTACAGAAGAAGAAGCGGTCGTCAGATCCGCGAAGAAATCCATGGGCAGCCGAACGGTCGACTCGAGACGCGCCAATTCGCGCGATCGTAGAGGCTTTTATTCTCGCCGCGGTCTCTCTAGGTCATTCGAGCCACGCGACGAGCACGTCGGAACACGTCAGTCAGGTTCCCACGTTTATCGCACGACGCCGGTCCCGTCGCGGAACGCATCGAGGTGCGTTGGGCCCTCCGGCGCGTTTCGTCGCACAAGAATCGTCGCTCCGCCAATTTGACCGAGCAGCATCTTCGCGTCTCAGGCACCGCGGGCGTCTCGGCGCGGCCCAGGAGCCCGGGGCTTTCTCTCGTTATCCTTCCGTTTCAGGACGCGCCGATCGGCGACGGCGACGTTACACGACACGGGCGAGCGATCGCCGCATCGTGTGGCGCGCACTCGCCGAGGAATTCCAAGATTCGTGCGTGAAGCGAGCGGCCTCTCTCGAGCCACTTTCTTCCTCGATCCGTCGGGAGGACCCTCGCCGCTTCTTCCTCCTCCTCCTTTTCGGGAATACCCGCGCCGTCGGGAGGGAACGAGGCGAGGCCCCGGTGACCCGGCGACGTTTATAGTCTCGTCGCGTGGCGACCACTTGTTGCTCTCGGATTCGGCCAACGACCGCGGGTCCGCCGTGCACGCCGCGGAAGGACGCCCGAATGTCCTTGCGGTGGCGCGGATCTCTCAAGGATCCCCAAGGACGACGCTCGCGCGAGTCGACGGACGGTTCCTCGGGAACGATCGGAATTCAGCCGAGTCGTCGTCCTTCACGTCGTTCCCCGGGTAACAGCTTTGTCCCGCTGGACAATCCCAGGGGTCAGGTCTCGACGGTATCCCGGACGTACGCGACGTACGAGGAACACCTCGACGAGAGTTGGGTTCAACCGGTCTCGCGGGGCACCAGCGACGACGCATACCGCGCGACGGTGCATCGAGTACTGAATACACGAGCCCGACAATCGCTCCCTCCCGTAATTCTGCCCCTTCTCTCCTCTCCGCTCTCGTCCGACCAAGGCTTTTCTTAGGCGGCCGCCTCGCCGGACTGTACGAAGGGCCAACGAGTTGTAAATGCAGCCAGAGGTCGTACTTGGACCGCCGCATTCGACGGCCATTGAGGAATTCTCCTCGCCGCGAATTCCCTCGTCGCCTTTTAAAGAGCGCAATCGCGGGCCACTTGCGGAATAGGCCGGGGGGGGGGTGCCCCGGGGAGCTGAAGATGCACGTGGGATGCACGCGCAAATTCAATGGCGCTGGATACCCCAAATTGAATTACACGTGGCCGACGCGAATCTCTGAAACGTATACGCGCTAACTTGCACATTCTTGGTGCACGAACGAGTCTCGTGCGCAATGGGCGGACTAATTTTGACAGATCTTCTTTCCCGCACTCTCAGAAAGGATTTCTGTTACCGGGACGAAAAATCTTCTTGACGCACTTATATTTCTCGCAACCTCATTTAGTATAAAAATAAGACAATATCAAAATAAAATTAATAATTCGTTTTCTCCTCTATCGAATTAAAAAAAGACTAACTTACTATCATTGAGACAAGAGTAACTTTATATTCTTGCGTTTAGAATAAATTTTCCCTCTTGCGACGCACGAAGTTGGCACCGCGATATTCGACAAAAGACGATTCTAGAGTTTAGAATTTTTCATTTAAGATTGAAATATTCCTTTCTCTCTATAATAAATGTGATTGGCGCTATATCGATCCTATTTTGTGATCTATTCAAGTGTAATAGCACTGGAAATGTTTTCTGTAGGTGCGGACATTGAAAAAATTCTCTTCCCCACCCAAAATGCAACCCGTTACCAACTATCCTGCCTTACGGCTGCGCATCGAACGAAGTATGATCTAACAAGGCCGATGTCTCTAACGAGTGCAGTCGTCTGTCAAGTGAACGCACTTGCGAAGCGTCGATTAGCGGTTAAATTAATTAAAGCCAACACCGTGCGCGCTGCGTACGCATGTAACGCAAGGAAGGGGGTGAGGAGCCGGTCGCGGTAATCGCGGATTCGCAATCTCCGATCGGCTGCTACACGGCCGATTGCCCTTTGACGCGCTTCGATCACTCGGAATCGCATCGATTTTCGATCGGAGAAAAAGAGAGAGGGGAGAGAGAGAGAGATAATTGCTCGGGCGGGCTGGCGGGACGGGGGAGACAGCCGTCGAGCTCTTGGGAACGGGTACGCGCCTCATCGTCGTCGAGGATGGCACGATCGGGCGAGGGAAGGGAGGAGAGAGAGAGAGAGAGAGAGAGAGAAGCGGAGGAGCTGCTTAAGGAGGCCACACGGAATCCGCAGACGTCTCACCGGTCGACCAGTTTTCTCATACGGTCGACATATGGTATGTACCCGGTGGCCGAAAGGTCTCCTCGCCTTCGCAACGCGAGACGCGAGGGTATATAAATCCCTTCTTGTCGTTCCGTAGCCACATTCCTCATTATGTTCGCAGCCGTCTCGATTGGATCGCTCGTACGAGAGCGTCCTTCGAGATCGCGCCGAAGGCAAATATCGCAAAATTTACGCGCGCTCCCTGCACTTGTACAACTGCACGTACGGACAATGTAGCTTCATCTCGCCGGGCACTCGTAACTGTACCCCGGACGAGGAGAACAAAGACATTTTTATCGCTGAATGAAGCTCGCCGTGGAGCAGGATGGAATGCTCGAAGCGTCAAACCTAACTGTTCGCTGGATGGTCGAATGACAGGCAAATATTGCTATCGGCTCGTGTTTAGTTATTATCGATGCGTCAGTTGTAAAAGTATTTACGATACCGCTTACGACGTGACTATTAGCCGCCGCTTTTACGGGACCGTGGCCTCTCGAAATTTATCGAACGGTAAATAGAGATCGGAAATTTGAGCTTGGCCTTAGACACGCGGCGCATACGTGAATCTGAGTTTTTATACTGTTTATAATTCCGTCTTCTAGATCGTGCTGGGCACGATTATGAGGACGTAATGGAGAACGATTGAATCGCCCCGCGAGATTCGCTAATGCGGGAATTGCACTGGAGGCGCAGTTATGACGGAACGAATTTGAGAGGAACTTTTCACCCGACGAGTTTATCTGAAGGAAATTTCAAGCTAAGGTGTTCCGATATTAAAAGTTTTGACGCGGCTCGACAAGGAGAAGTGGAACCGAAAGGAAGGACGGCGCGCCGCGTGTGCGGTAAAATCACTCGTCCGCGATACGGGGCCCCATATCCCGCAGGGGCACATGCCGGGGGGCCCCGGGTACGCTTGTATTTACACGCGCGCCGAACCTCTCCGCCCGGGGCAAACCGGTATGCGTTTTTCCGGCCGACGGAAATACGACACTCGACGACGGCGGTCCTTCGAGCTCCATCGTCAGCGGGTACACGACCGGCTACAATGGCCACGAGTAAAAATGCGCGTGGCTGTGCAGTATACCCTAGATTTCCCGCATAATCGCCTCGATGCGAGATCTTAGATTTCGCTCTCGGCAAGAGTATCCCGTATTGAGAACGAGGGAAAAGTAAGAATATTGCGCAAGGAGGTAGAGACCCCGCCGAGTCGTCACGAAGAGAAGAAAGGAAGTGCGAACGCGCCGCGTTCAGAAAAGTACACGGTTATGTCATAATAATGCCATTCTTCCCAAATATAAATACAATGAACGCGAAGTAAAAAATTACTCGGGCAATTTTACGGGCTACAATCTCGTTTCCATTTTCTCTCACACTTTCATGGGTGCAGACTTTAGTTTTTAAACGACATACAGGATGTTATGTAATACCCGCCTCACCTCTTATTTACGGATAGAGCGGACTAGACTGGGTCGGAAAGTCCTCTACCATTTTGCAATTTTCGCAATAGTTAACGAGTTAT